GGCCCCCACCCTGGGGTTCATGTGGCTGGGAAGCCTGATGTCTGTTTCAGCAGTGGGATCAAAACCAGCTTTCAGAGCAACATAAGCCAGAGGTAATTTTTAGAACAGATGTAACTTTCTAGTTCCTTTTTCTTACCCCTCATTTTTCAGTTGACTTTAAAGAGGCCGCAGAGAGCTGAAAAACAAATCCAAGTTTAAAGAGACAAGTGCAAAAATGCAAACTGGGCAAGGGGACAGAGCCGCCAGCTGGACAAAATGTGCCTGGAAAACAGCATCCTCTGCTTGGCAGGTGCCGGGGATTTATGGTTGAGTTTTGCAGACCTTTCATCACGTTATGAGCCAGCTCAGGAGACCCTCATAAAACTCTGCTTATATTAAAGAACAAACTAGCTGATAAAAGTCAGCTGCTGCTTATAAACACACTGTGGGGATTGCAATTGAGTGGTGGATTTATTAGTCTGTGCTCTCTGTGCAAATCAAGAACTATCCCGCACATTTGAGTCAAGACAGCCAGAGCACAGAGGGTTGCTGCTTGCTCACAGGATGGCAGACAAACCGTGTTGCCTCTGTCCTCATGATTTACTCTACCAGAGACCAGAGGGAAGATTCTTGCTTGGGATGTAGTCTCACATTCCCCATTCTTGCCTCCATGAAAAGAATCAGCCTCATTCTCCATCCTCTGCACCCTCTGCATTCTTCATGACACCACTTCACATGGGCTTGCATCTAAACCGTGGGTTTGATCACCAGTGATCAGTGCTGTGCTGGGTACACGGAGGCCTCGGGATGGATGTGTGGATATGGCAGATCTAAGTTATTACTGCCCCAATCCTAACAGCAAGCATGGAGGGGTTAGGGGAGCAATGTTGAGGTGCCTGTGGAAGCAACAGAGAGAAGAGGTGGAGGAATCTTTGGGGTCCAACTCTCCCCAGCCACCCTTTCTGCACTGACACATTTCTTCAGGATTAAAGAGCAAAAAAGACCAGGTATGCAAGAGAATGAAGGGTACTTGTTAAGAATGTAGACATCTAGGCCTTTCTACTTGTGAATCAGGATCACTGGGGCTCTGGTGTGTTCTATCAGGTATCAGTGTCAGAAAAATAACATTCCTTTGCATTATGCAGAAACTGAGAAGGAGCCTTCCAGGAATGATGGGGAGGAGTGGAGTAGCTGGAAGTGGTCGCCCCCTGTCGTTCCTTAAGAAGGACTGGTTTTCTCATCCCGGGCTCGGGCATACAGGGCAAAGTTGAAGGCTGGCACACAGCCCCAGGATCTACTCCAACCCTTTTGGCTATGGGATCGGATGGGAGGGTAGCTGGCAAGGTTGCAGCTGCCCTGGAAGAGGCTTGGACACTTTGTGTGCCACTGCCAAGTCAGATGGGGACAGCGTTAGGCTGGAGCCACATTCTCTGCAGGGCTGGATATTCAGAAAACCTAAAGAGGTGACAGGTATGCTCTTGTCTTCCATGGCAGAAAGGGAACACTGATGCTGAGAGAAAGACTCTGGTACAAATTCTGGCAGTGTCACCAATAAGTGTGACTTGGAGAAACTGAGACACAGTGAGTTTTCTATCTGCTTAATGGATGTAAACATCAAGCATTTATTGTAAACTAAAACAAAGAAGAGATTTCAAGAGCATGGCACAGAACTACACATTTAGTAGGTGACTAATAAATCTTACGTGAACTTCAATTATTAAATGTTCATAAACTTACACAAAGCACTCACAAGTCTTTTGTCTCACGAACCTTACAAACCTATAAAGACTTATCCTCTCCCATCACACAGATGAGGAAATTGAGACCCTGGGGAAATCACTTGCCCATGATTACAAGGGCTAATTACAGGTTGAACTGACACGGACCCAAGTCTAGTTGAGATGCAGTGCAACAAGCTTCCCAAGTCAATTATCAATATTCCTTCCCCTCTTCCCTAAACCTGCCCCAAATGTGCCTAGTCCTCTCTTGCCATACAGAGAAGGAATTAGAAAGGATCCAATGCTTGGGCAGGTTGGGAAAGTACCTGGCTTCTCTCATCCTGATTAATATCAGGAATGGTACAATAACCATAAAGCCTTCAGTCTCCTTGGGCAGGCAGAAGTCCTTCTCTTTAGAGACCAGGTGGCCAGCCCACTGGTTTGGGACAGCCAGTGCTCTGAGAGCAGAACCTTAAGGCCAAATTCGGAATATGGACCAGGTAGGGACAGGAGAGGAGCCAAAATTCATTTTATCAAAGTAACAGGGCAGGAGCTCCAACCCAACTGAATGAAACAGAAAAGAACTGTCAATCCATAAGCCAATGACATGACTTAAATGAGGAGTGCTGAAGTGTTCCCACTATGGTGCTTCTCCATAAATTAATTTATGGATTTAATTGACTCTAGTAAAAAATTAAAAACAGACTATTTTGTTTGGGGTGAGTAAAATTAGCTAAATGGGAAATTCTGAGGCTGAGGGTGTGTGTCAGTGGTAGAGTACTTTGTAGCATGTTCTAGGCCCTGGGTTCCAACCCCAAAGCCAACACACACAAAAAAAATCTGAGGGGAAAAACAGCATAAGGAGTACAGGAAGAGTTGCTAAAACCTAACAGATTGTAAGACTTTGGAAACAACCTAAATATCCACCTGTAAGGGGTCAGTTCAATAAATGATGATATATACACAGCCAACTACATAACCACTTTAAAAAAATTAAGGAAGCTCTTTATGTATCCACAGAGAATGAACTCCAAGACACAATAAGTGGAAAAAAAGAGGTACAAAACTGGATATATAATATGTTATTGCCCTCATTAAAATGAAGGAAAGCACAGTATTAGTTATCTATTGCTGTGGGAAAAAAATTCCCCAACTTATTGACTTAAACACTGAAGTCAGAGATCCAGGTGCATCCTTGCTCAGGTCCTCATGAGGTTGTAGTCAAGGTGTCAGCTGGGGCTGTGGACCCATCTGAAGGCTCAACTGGGGAAGGGAGGATCTGCTTCCAAGCTCCTTCACGTGGTTGTTGTCAGGCACTGGCTTCTCCACAGGGCTGCCTCACACATCCCAGCTGATGTCGCTCAGGGTGGGTGATCCAAGACATAGTGAGACAGAACAACCAAGATGGAAGCTGCAGTGTTTTTTCATAACCTATTTTCAGAAATGACATTTACCATTTGACAGCATTCCACTCTTTAGAAGCAAATCCGCAAGTGAGACCAGGGAAGGAGAGTACACAAGGGCATGAATACTAGAGGTGGGCTCATTGCAAGGGGCAGGGGGTGGGGGGAAAAAAAATCTGAGAACTGTATCAGGTGAAATATATTAGGTGATTTTGTTGCGTGAACATCATGTGGTGTATTTATACAAACTAAGATGGCTAAGATGTCACTAGGCAGTATCACTAGGGCTACCCACATATACAGGGTTCTTCACTGAAATGTTATGTCACACACACTATGTACACACACACACACACACACACACACACACACACACACACAGAGCTCCCATTTATAGAACAAAATACTTTTGAGCCAGGAATCAGGGCTCTTCATGATTTGGTTCCAGCCATTCTTCCATCCTTCTATGAACTCTACTTACTTGTTATTCTGAACTATTAATATTTGCCAGGTCTAGGGAGTAAAAGTAAAAAGCACAATGCCTGGCATACAACAAACTTTCAGTAAGTTTCACTCTTAATCAAAGGCTGCCTTTGCTTAGACAGTCCCTTGGGCATGGAAAGGGGTATACCCCTTTTCCTCTCCCCTCAAGGCTAACTCAGATGGCACTGTCACCAAGAAGCAACCCCACAGCACTTAGTCATTACCTCTAGTCTCCCACAGCACTCTTTTCTAACTCAACTACAACTTTTATTACTTTATGATAAATTTAAATCTACAATTTTTTTCTATTTTTAAAAAAATCTCTACAACTTAAAAGTTTGATCCTTGGACTATCAGCTTTAATTCTGACATCTCATCAGAAATGAAAAATCTCAGACTCCATCCCAGATCTACAGAATGACACTCTAAAGATAGTAGTGATTTATATGCACATTGTTTGAGAAACACTGGTTAAATCTTCCCCTGACTGAAATGTAAGACTTCCAAAGACTTTCTTTCATCTCTGTTCCCAGAGCCCATCATAAGACTTAATACCCACACTTGGCATGGTAGTGCACACTTATAATCCCAGCATGCAGGAGGCTGAGGCAGGAGGATTGCAAGTTCAAGGGCAGAGTGGTCTACACAGAGACCCCGTCTCAAAAAAAACAAGAAGGGGCTAGAGGAGTGGTACAAGTGGTAGAGTGCCTGCCTACAAGTGTGAGGCCCTAAGTTCAAACCCCAATACTTCAAAACAAAACAAAACACCCAAGGACTGGACATAGTTCCGTGGTAGAACACACTGGGCTCTATCCCTAGCACTGCAGGAAAAAAAAACAAAAACAAAAACTGGATACCCAAATATCTTCTAAGTTTTATTTACAATTATGTACATTAAATTTTTTTTAATTCCTGGAAGAATATATACCATTTTACTAATAATAGTTATCTATAAAGTAGACAATGGTACATTTCTGTGTAATATTTCAATTTTTCACAATAAGAATGTATTATCTTTATAGACAGAAAACATGAAGATTTGGAAGACTGAGTAAAATTTAAGACAGAATACATTCACGAAGTGGAATATAGCATATATAAGGGGTGTACTTATGAAAGATGGCCATGCTATATACAAAAATTTTAAAAAGACAATTTAGTGGTTTATATCAATGATATCGTATCTGTTATTTAAAAGTTTGTGAATGGACACTGGAAGGATACATGTCAAAATGGCTCTGACATAATTTGCATCGTACTTTCCTACACTTAAATTTTTTCCTAACACATACAATTTTTTAAAAAGCATAAGAGGGCTGGCAGAGTGTGTGAGGCCACAAAAAAAAAAATAAAAGCATAATAAGAAAAGCCATTTGAAGATATTTTGAAAAATATCCATACTCTTGACTAAGCTCCTTTAGTGAATGACCTAGATTTCTGCAAGCATCTGGGGGAGTGGAAGGCTCTAAAAGCATGCAGCCACTGCAGATGTAGGTACAGGGCCTCAGAAATGCAATCCGATCACCTACTCTGGGCTGGTGTTCTCCCACCCATGCAGTCCGACAAATTCAGAATATGGCAAGTGCAACGCCAGCTGTCATTTTGGGATTCTTGGTGTTCTCCATTACTTCTCAGATGGTAACAGCAATAGTGGACCACTAGCTCTTAAGAACAAAGCATTCAGAACCATTCATGCGGCACCACCTCCCCCTGGTGGCAGGCTTTGGAAACAGAAATCAGCTTGATGATAAGGAGCTACTGGGATTGGCCAAATATTCGTCAATGTTTTTCACCACTTTTTCATTTCTTTTCCCTTTCTCTTTTGCTTTCCTTCCTTCTTTTTTTTTTTGAGAGACTGAACCTAGGGCCTCATGCATGTCAAATACACATTCTAACTACAAACCCAGACCTACTCATATCTGTAAATAATCAAGGAGTCAGATACATACAAAACCAGGACTGGTGTCAAACAGATATGTTGCTCAGATGATGCTAAGGGCAGCTGCCACCTGTTACCGCCTGTCCTTTCCTTCCCTACCACTCAGGCTTTATGATGGAGACAGACACTATATTCATCAGTGATGCCTTTCCTGTTTTTCCTCTGCCTCTGTCCACTTCCTTGAGCCTCAGGAGAGGGCAAGGGGTGACCCATGTACCCTCAGCCATGACCTGGCATGGAGAACCCCAGGATATCTGCCAGCAGTCATCCCAAGACCAAGTCCTGAGGTTGTAGGTATTCATGTTTCAAATGTCAGGTTGCTATGATGTTTCTTTAGAAATAGCAGATGCAGCAATGTCAGTCTTCAATTGTGGTACTTCACATTTCCAGATAAACACACAGCTTCTTTACTCCTCCAGGAAGAAGGAAACATTCAATAGGATAGCTGGAATAAGAAGAAGGGAAAAACTGACATGTTATCTTTCCAGAATATACAAAACATCAGATTTATAAAGATACAGAGGCACAGAAAGGGCATCTCTCTAACGCCTCCAGAGAGGTGAGTCATAGAGAAAGAAAGGAGATATGAATGAATTAACGAAACCAGTACCTTGCACAAGGTCTTGGTGCTCATCTTCTGAAATTTGGTCCCAGGCCTTGGGCAATGCTTGGATGTCTGCCAAGTTTCCCCACTGGATTGAGGAGAGGAGGTATTTTCTCTTCAGGTACCTTCCTGGAAGTTAAGGACTGCTCAAAAAGAAAATGAGGGACTGGTGGAGTGGCTTAAGTGGTAGAGTGCCTGCCTTGCAACTTGCAAGTGTAAAGCCCTGAGATCAAACCCAAGTACCACCACCAAAAAAAAAAAAAATCTATTGAAGGAAAAAAGTACCCTGGTGAAAGCTATGAGGAGCTATGAAGTGAAAGTACAGCTATCATTATACTTTACCAGGCGGCCATTATGTGGTTCTTGACTATCAAGTTACCAGGGAAACAAATCAAACAGTCTGACCAGTGTCTCTATAAACACTCTGGTTGACACACTAAGTGCTCAGCAATGTCAGTGTCAGCTACTGCTCCTTCTGCCCTTGCTGCTGCTGTTATCACCACTACTGTTACCACCACACTACTGACTGGACAGTGTTGATTCTATAACTAAGGGAAGGAGTTGAATCTGAGGACTAAATGGAGGAGTTCAACAGTAAATTTGAATTTGCATGTTCTTAGTGATCCAGTTGGAGGCATCTGCAGGTAACAGACTCAAATCTAGAGACAATGAAGACAGAAACTTAAGTCAGAAGGTAGATGCAAGTAACATGGAAAGATTGAGAGTCAAAGGCCAGCATGTCAAGTAACTAATCTTTCTGCTTTCACTCTTGCTTTCTACTACTATGTGTCCTCAGAATATAGCCAATATAATATTGTTAAAAAAAATGGAAAAACTTGGGTCATATTACACTATGCCTCTATTAAAAACCTTCTAATAGCTTTCATCTCACTCAGAGTAAAAGCCAAAATCTGTTCAAAGCTGAGGCCCTAGGAAGTCTAGCCACGACATTGCTAAGCTCATGTCCTACCTACCGGATGGCCCTCATGCCCTGCTCTGGCTACACTGACGTCCTGGCTATTTTGAGAGCAGGTCTTGCATTTGATGATTCCTCTGCCTGGAACACACTCCCCTCAAATATCCAGTCTCCTTCCCTCACCTTTTTCAGATCTTTGCTGAAATGTCACTTCTTAATGCTGCACTGACCACCCTATTTTAAACCAGTCTCACCATCACACCTCACAGTCTCTGCTTTATTTTTCTCCATAGCACTTATCACCACCTAATACTCTAGTTTTTTTTTTCTGTTTTTAGAAAAAAGGCATCTCTCAGCACCTATACCAGTATTTAGCAGATAAATTATTTGAGGAATGACTAAAACAGAAGGTAGAAGGAATCCAAATTCAGGAACAAAAAAGAGCAGACCCAAACTATATAATTTTCTAATCTTGTGAAAATTGAAATTAAAGACTTCTTAGGAGTGCTCTGGGCACTATCTGAAATGTACACAAAGGATATGAACTTCGACAATATCTCTCAATGTCCTGTAACCATTCCAACATGTCAGCTACAGAGGGGCTTACAGCTGAGGGCTGCAGAACACCATCAATGCCAACTGCAGTTGCGTGCTGCTCATAGGTCTGGAACACTTGCTCCACATGGCTGCTCACAGTGTCACGCACCTTGAGGAGAGTGGCTCTGTGGGAAAGAGTATGATATTAGGCAATATCACAAGAAAAGTAGGAGGTAAGGCTTATCAAATGTGGCACTCCTGGTGTTTTGAACCAGATAATTCTGTGGTGGTGCTGCCCCGTGCATTGTAGGATGTTAAGTAGCATACCTGGCCTCAACCTGCTAGATGACAGGAGTAAGCCATGCCCCCACCCTCTCCAAATCATGACAACAATGTCTCTAGACATTGCCAAATGTCTCTTCACAGAAATACCACCCCCAGTGAAAAGGGTGCCAATCTAAAGATATTTGTACCTTAGAGGTAGGGGTGGCTCAAAAATTAAGAATTGATGTCAGGCGTGGTATAGTGCACCCCTGTAATCCTAGTTATTTGGAAGGCTGAGACTGGGAGGATCAAGGTTTGAGAGAGCCCCACCAAATAGTTTATGAGACCCCCCATCACCAAAATAACCAGAAAAAAATGGACTAGAGGTGTGGCTCAAGTGGTAGAGTGCCTGCTTTGCAAGCTTGTAGCCCTGACTTCAAACCCCTGTCCCCTCCAAAAAAAAAACTGATTTTAGCCAGGCAAGGTGGCTCACACCTGTAATCCTAGCTATTCAGGAGGCTGAGATTGGAAGGATCGAGGTTCGAGGACAATCTAGGCAAAAAGGGACCCCCATCTCAACCAACAGCTAGGCATGGTAACACACATGTCATCCTAGCTATTTGGGAAGCATAAACAGAACCTCAGTCCAGGCTGGTCCAAGGCAAAAATGTGAGACCCAATCCAAAAATAACTAAAGCAAAAAGGGCTGTAGGCATGGCTCAAGCGGTAAAGCACTTGCTATAGGCCCTAAGTTCAACCTCTAGTATCACCAAACAAACAAACAAAAAAAGTTATATGGCTTTCAATGTTGTGAGATTAGTCCAGTTGCCAAACAAAGTAAAGACAAGAAGACTCTCTGGGGCCACCATGAAACTCTAAGGAGAGCAAATGCTCACTCGTAGTCCTATGCTAGTACAGAGGCTAGCACATAAGAAGCAAACACTTGCTTATTGAGTAAGAGAATGAGTAAGTAGAAAGGATTATTATAAAGATTAAATGCAATAATGCACATAAAGTACTTAGGGAAGTACCCAGCTTATAGTAAATATTATTTCATGGGTGACTTTAAGGGACCCAACCATTAAAACAGGGGCTACAACTTCCCAAAGGACAAGGGCATTCCCTAGTGGCTTTCAAAATGTTTGACCATGGACGAGGGGCATGGCTCAGGTGGTACAGTGCTTGCAAGCCTGAGTTCAAGCTATAGTACTGCAAAAGAAAAAGTTTGGGGCTACAGGTATGAGACTCAAGTGGTAGACTGCCTGCCTAGCAAGTGCAAAGTCCCGAGTTCAAACTCAAGTACCACCAAAAAAAAATTTTTTTGACTGATTCAACCTAACACTCACACAAACATGTGATCAACTGAAATAAAAGTTCACAAAACAATACTTGATCCTCTGAAATACTGTTTTTCACACGGAGTCCTGCTTACTTGTAGACTATAACTAGCATTAAAAAAATATAATAGAAAACAAAATATTAGAGAGCAGGACTTGTGGTACTGTTTTATGGGATATTTTAGATGTGTGTGTGTATTATGATAGTAAATGTATTTCTTCTTATAGGTGAAGGTCAAAAGTCTGAAAGTCACTGAGCTAGAAGAAACCAAGTGCCTCTGGAGAAGCAAGTTTTCACCAGGAGTTTTTAATTTGTTTTTTGCTTTGTTTTGTGTTTTAGTGTTGGAGGTTGATCCCAGAGCCTCACCACTAAGCTATACCCTTAGTCCCCCTTTCTTAAAATTGATACAATTCACAAATGCTAAAACCCATCATTTAAAAGTATAAACCTTAACAATGAACTATGTAAACTACAGAGACTCACTGATGGGAACAAATGTACCAGTGTGGTATAGTGATTATATATGGGTGGAGCAGGGGGTGTTTGGAAATTCTCTGCAACTTCCATTTAACTTTGCTGTGAACTGGAAATACTGCTCTAAATATTTTTGTTTTTAAAAATAAGTATACTATTTAGTGGATTTCCATACACCCAAAGTCATACGACCATCACTACCATCTAATTCCAGAGCATTGTCATCACCCCCAAAAGAAACCTGTATTCATTCTCCCATTATCTTCCTTTCAGTACTCTATCACTTGAGCCACACACTCCCAGACCTTTTTTTTTTTTTTGCAATACGAGGTCTCCCCAATGCAACAAGCTGGCCTAAAACTCATGATTCTTTTGCTTTGGTTTCCCAAGTGCTGAGATTACAGGCATGTACCACAATGCCCAGCAACTTACTGACTCTATATGGATTTGCCTATTCTGGCTGTTTCATAGAAATGAAATTGTATAAGATGTGGGGGTTTTAGTGTATGGTTTCCTTCATTTAGCATAATGTTTTCAAGGTTTATCTGTGTTATAGCATGTATTCCAGAGCATTGATGACTGAGTAATAGATCCCTTTGTAGGGATACATTTTGTTTATCTGTTCATCTGATGGATATTTGGATTGATTCCACCTTTTGGCTGTTATGAATAATATTTATGGAGTGCTTAAATAGCTACTATTTATATGGCTGGAGGCATGGCTTAAGTGGTAGAACTCTTGCTAGCAAGTTCAAGGCTCTGAGTTCAAATCCTAATATCACCAAGCCGGGGGAGGAACTACTACTTATAAAGGAGCTGACCTATTCAGAAACTATGTTGATGAACCCCGGGGCTCTCTGGACTCCTGTCTCCATTCCTCTCCAAAGTCCTCTCAATTCAGAAGAGACATGTCTATAGACCATATGCTCCTTGAAATAGCTAACCCATCACTTCATCAGCTGGTTTACCACTCCAATTCATCTCTTACCAACCCCCTGCTCCAAGAACACTATACAACACTATTCATGCCCATCTCTTGACTCAATTTAAACGAGTTCATCCTTCAGCTTTTGACATTACTTCTTCCCTCAGGCTTCTTCTGTGTTCAGGTTGCACTCATCACTATCTGAGAAATGCCACATAATTTAATTGACTGATTGTCTATCTCTTTTACTCAACTAAGAACAGGAACTAAGTCTAGTTCATTGTTGTGCTTGGCATTCCTCCAATTCTTAATATTTGTTGCTTTGTACAAATGTATAAAAGGATAAAATGTATTCTTTACAAATGACAATTTCCTGCTTTTCTATGGCACAGACACTGTACACTAAAACTTTCATTTGTTAAGGGTTAAGGAAAGGCCACATAAGCTCTGTCTCTTTTCTGTGCTCATTAATTTACAACCTGACACACAAGGTCTAATAATGGGCAAAAAAAATTAGAACTTGCAGGCATGCTACCCCTGGGCACAGACACACCAATGCACAGCCAAACAAAGTAGTGGTTAAGAGCTCTGCCTTTGGTGTCAAACCACTTGGTTTAGAATCCCCAGCTCTACTATTTACTAGGTGTGACCAGGGCTTGAGCCTCAGTTTTCTCACTTGCAAAATGGAATCAAGTAAGGTTAAGTCACAGAGGTGTTTTTTAAAAAAAAACAACTTTTATGAGGTAATGCATATAAAACCCTTAGTTCTGGTACCTGCTAAGCTTAACACATAGTTCCTCATTGTCTTTACCAAAGAAAACTAAAAGGAGAACTAATCCACTTTCTCCACTTTTTCCTGTTTTTCTAACTTGTACTAAGCCCACCACTGCCATGCCTGGCCTCTAACAAGAAATGGCAGCAAATGGCTTTTGACAGAGGTCCCACGGAACAGAAGGAAAGGAGGGAAGTTCTCAAGGAAGAAGAAAGCCATCCCTCTGATCCAGCCTAATTACTTATAAAACACCCGGCTTTAAGATTCTTCCTCCAAGAAGGTGCGCGGAGAAACCTCTTACAGTCTCTCCGCCAGCTTGTCCAGAACACTGTCACCAGCCTCCAGCTGCTTGCGCCTGAGCCGCTCCTGCAAGTCCGGGAAGGCCCGAAGTGCGGGCACATCCTCAAAGCGCAGATTCTGTGCCGCCTGCAGCTGCTCGGCCAGGTTGCTGAGCGAGGCCAGGAGGGGCTGGCAGTCCCGCACAGTGCTCTGCCACAGGCCCTGCTGCTCCTCCACGGCGGGGAAGCACTTCTTCAGGGCCTCCTGCACAGCACGCAAAGGCCGATCTTGAGCCATCTTCTGGTGGTGGGGGTAGGGGTGTGTGGGGGGTGTCAGCAAGCCAGGTCGGTAGCGGAGGTTGGGTCAAGGGTGGGAGTCCAGCTCTCGGTCTCCAAATTCTTCCGGACACAAGCTCCTGCTCGAGCCTCGAGAAGCGGGTCTCTGAAAGACTCTCGCTTTCCCCTTCAGGAAGAGTGACCTGGCTGTCCCTGGAAGAAGGGTCATCTGGGATAGGGCAGACTGCAGATTCCCGGGGCCAAAGCCCTGTCTTCTTTCAGACCCATGCTTCTGGAGCCAGAATCATGTCTCCTTTCTTTGAGGTTGAGAGCCACGTTCCCTACACCAGCATGAAAATGAAAGCCAAAGAACTCCACTATTCCCTGCCTGCCACTGTGCATATGCTCAAAAGGGACCCCCGCTACATGGATAGCTCGACTACCAAGTCGTGAAAATTTGTCGTCAAGGCCGCAATGACCTCTGGGTGCTGAAGTCCTACTTGTGGATTGGCTACCTGGTAGAGAAGCTTCCTCGTGATTGGATATTGAGGGACGTCTTAAGACGGCGACTTCTCATTCGTCGGCCTGTGGCAGTTAAGTTTAAATTGGGTGGCGGTTACCTGCAGAGCCGCTGTTTCTCGGCTGGACCTGCGAGGCTTTTCTTCGTCCTTACTTTGGCTCCGCAGGTACGTGCCTCGCTACTTTTTTCTGCCTAGACCCCAAAGGACGGTTCCCGTCTGCCCTCTCCGCCCCTTGTTACCCCTTCCCCTAATTCCGCCGTTCACCCCTTGTGGCTCAGTCCCCTGATCCTCGCAGCTCCACCCAAAGCGCCATGGCTCCTAGGAAGCGTACCAGTCGGGTGGCCAAGACCAACTCGTTACGGAGCCGGAAGCTCGCCTCCTTTCTTAAGGACTTCGACCGTGAAGGTAAGGGACGGCTACCCGAAGCGAATGCGGGTTGGGGCGCCGGCAGGACAGATTCACCCGCCTGGTGACCTGTGTCTTGTGGCTCTGCCATCTCGCAGTGCAAGTACGAATCAAGCAAATTGAGTCTGACAGGCAGAACCTCCTCAAGGAGGTGGAAAACCTGTACAACATCGAGATCCTGCGGCTTCCCAAGGCGCTGCGCGAGATGAACTGGCTCGACTACTTCGGTAAGAGCTGTTGGAGTTCCCCGGGCCCGGCGCGTACCCGCCACTGGTTATAATAACAGCCCTCCGAAGGGACTCGCTCAAATGTCCCCTTCTTACTCAGGTCGAAAAATTGCAACCCAGTAGGGTTGCACAGTCCCACTTTTCTCTGCAGCGCTTACTGTCATCCAGCCCTGGGGTACGCAAACCTTTTTTCTACAGGGCCAGGTGACAAAGATTTTTAGGCTTCTTGAGTCAAAGGGTTGTCTACTCAACTCTGCTGTTACAGTTTCAAGACAGGGATAGTGAATGGCCTTTACACCAATAAAACTCTATTTATGGACACACTGAAGTGTGAATTTCACAAGTCAGGAAATGCCTGTGTGTGTTACCTAGCCATTTAAAAATAAATGAGTAAATTACTTGGTTTGCTATCAGAGGTCAGATGGGAGGATAACACCAAGCAGCTCTTTCAGCAGTTTATGGAAATGGCCAATTTTAAAATGGACAAATCAGTTGTGAAGTGTTGGGACTGGAGGGTTTTCCTGACCAGCGAAAAATTGCAGGCTGATATCCTACTGCTTGTTAAATTTCCAAGGAAATACAGACTACTGGGTTATCCTTTCTGTTTTCCTTATTAATAGTAATAATATGTAGTTCTCTTCTTGGATAGAAGTGCATATTCTGCTCACATCCAGTTTATTTTATTTATTTATTTGTATTGGGGATTGAACCTAAGGCTTCACTCATGATAGGCAAGTGGTCTACCACTTGAGCCACATACATACCAGCCATTTTGTCCTTTTGTTTGCATTTTGGTTTTGAGATTAGGGTCTCACTAACTTTGTCCTCACTGGATGTAGGACAAACTTTCTACAAAAGTTTGGCATATGTAGGTCACAGTAGGAGGTGCTGAAGATCATTGAGGATTAAAACCTTTAGTAACTGATAGGTTAGTGGAGAAGGGTCATTTAGAAAATTCATATACAATTATAGGTACATAATTGGAATTGTAAGTACTACAAAAGAGATAAATTGGAGTAGTGATTATTAGGTATATTTATATAGTACTTCCCTGGCCAGATGGGCATTGTACCAAATGTTCTGCATGCATTAACATTATCCTCATAGCAAGCTAATTAACAGTATTATGCCTGTTTTAGAATGACAAGATTAAGGCACAGAAAGATAGGTTATTTTGTTCAAGGCCTCATAAGCTACTTAATGGCATAGGCTATTTGAAACTCAGACATTCTGCTTACAAAGCCTGAGATCTTAACTGTTATGCAGACCATGAGGATTTCTAGCAACAGGATCTAACCTAAGCTTTTATTCTACATCTAAATCTCATGAAGAATTTTTCATTCAATACACATTTACTATGTCAGATGAATTAGAAATGTGTAGGGTACAGAGGAGTATTTTAGGCAGAGGAAATACTTAGTACCAGAGCATTGAGTCATGAAAGACAGCAGCACATTTGGGAAACAATAAGAACTTTGGTGAGGGCTGGCAGAGTGGCTCAAATGGTAGAGTGTCTGTCTAGTAAGTGTGAGGCCCTGAGTTTAAACCTCAGTATCGCCAAAAAAAAAAAAAAAAAAAAAAAAGGCAAAACTTTGAGATCAAACATAGAATAAATGTATAAGGAGGGGGAGGAATCAAACTTGAAGAGAGATCAGATTGTGAAGGTCATTCCTTGTTAGACCAAAAGCTTAATCCTCTCCATCTTTAGAAAGATAACTGATAGTATTAGGGAAGGTGATTTATCATTCTAATCTGATAGTAACTAAATATTCCTTTTAAAGCCCTTGGAGGAAACAAACAAGCTCTGGAAGAGGCAGCAACAGTAAGTGACCTCTTTTATTTTTGAGCTGGTTTGTTTTGGGGTTTTTTGTTTATTTTGTTTATGTGTTTCCCCTTGTTAGGCAGGTGCTCTACCACATGAACCACACCCTTAGTCCTGAGCTGGTTAGTTTTTAAGTATAATCCAGTCATAAAATCTAACCCATGGGGTGCATACTGTAGATAATTTTTCATCAGAGGACATGGTATCAGCTGAAAAAATTCTAGTTATCTCAAACACTGAGGATGTGAAGTCCATAGAGCTGAGTACTAAAAGAGTGACTGCTATTATGACACAGTCCCCCGCCACCCCCATCAGGGAGTTCCTCATCTGAGAATGCAACCACACATTCAACTGTGGATTGAAAATTTCAGAAAAAATGAATTGTATCCATACTAAACAGGTACAGAATTTTTTGTTTTTAGTAGCTAAACAATGCATTATAACAACTATTTGCATAGTATTTACATTGTATTAGGTATTATAAGTCATCTAAAGGTAATTTATAGCAGGATGTTCATGGGTTATATGCAAATACTATGTCATTTTATATAAGGGACTTGGACATCCACAGATTTTGGTTCAAGAAATAACACCTCATGGACACTTAAGGGACAGCTGTATATTTTGGGGGTTTTGTCCACAGTTCCTGCCTCATAGGTTCTATCCTTCTTTAATTTCTTTTTTTTTTTTTTTCCCAAATTTTAACAGCCTTATTTTATTTTATTTTTTTCATTTTTCTTTTATTATTCATATGTGCATACAAGGATTGGTTCATTTCTCCCCCCTGCCCCCACCCCCTCCCTTACCACCCACTCCACCCCCTCCCTCTCCCCCCACCTCAATACCCAGCAGAAACTATTTTGCCCTTATTTCTAATTTTGTTGTAGAGAGAATATCAGCAATAATAGGAAGGAACAAGGGTTTTTGCTGGTTGAGATAAGGATAGCTATACAGGGCATTGACTCACATTGATTTCCTGTGCGTGGGTGTTACCTTCTAGGTTAATTCTTTTTGATCTAACCTTTTCTCTAGTACCTGTCCCCTTTTCCTATTGGCCTCAGTTGCTTTAAGGTATCTGCTTTAGTTTCTCTGCGTTAAGGGCAACAAATGCTAGCTAGTTTTTTAGGTGTCTTACCTATCCTCACCCCTCCCTTGTGTGCTCTCGCTTTTATCATGTGCTCATAGTCCAATCCCCTTGTTGTGTTTGCCCTTGATCTAATGTCCACATATGAGGGAGAACATACGATTTTTGGTTTTTGGCCAGGCTAACCTCACTCAGAATGATGTTCTCCAATTCCATCCATTTACCAGCGAATGATAACATTTCGTTCTTCTTCATGGCTGCATAAAATTCCATTGTGTATAGATACCACATTTTCTTAATCCATTCGTCAGTGTGGGGCATCTTGGCTGTTTCCATAACTTGGCTATTGTGAATAGTGCCGCAATAAACATGGATGTGCAGGTGCCTCTGGAGTAACAGTCTTTTGGGTATATCCCCAAGAGTGGTATTGCTGGATCAAATGGTAGATCGATGTCCAGCTTTTTAAGTAGCCTCCAAATTTTTTTCCAGAGTGGTTGTACTAGTCTACATTCCCACCAACAGTGTAAGAGGGTTCCTTTTTCCCCGCATCCTCGCCAACACCTGTTGGTGGTGTTGCTGATGATGGCTATTCTAACAGGGGTGAGGTGGAATCTTAGTGTGGTTTTAATTTGCATTTCCTTTATTGCTAGAGATGGTGAGCATTTTTTCATGTGTTTTCTGGCCATTTGAATTTCTTCTTTTGAGAAAGTTCTGTTTAGTTCACATGCCCATTTCTTTATTGGTTCATTAGTTTTGGGAGAATTTAGTTTTTTAAGTTCCCTGTATATTCTGGTTATCAGTCCTTTGATGTATAGTTGGCAAATATTTTCTCCCACTCTGTGGGTGTTCTCTTCAGTTTAGAGACCATTTCTTTTGATGAACAGAAGCTTTTTAGTTTTATGAGGTCCCATTTATCTATGCTATCTCTTAGTTGCTGTGCTGCTGGGGTTTCATTGAGAAAGTTCTTACCTATACCTACTAACTCCAGAGTATTTCCTACTCTTTCTTGTATCAACTTAAGAGTTTGGGGTCTGATATTAAGATCCTTGATCCATTTTGAGTTAATCTTGGTATAGGGTGATATACATGGATCTAGTTTCAGTTTTTTGCAGACTGCTAACCAGTTTTCCCAGCAGTTTTTGTTGAAGAGGCTGCTATTTCTCCATCGTATATTTTTAGCTCCTTTGTCAAAGATAAGTTGCTTATAGTTGTGTGGCTTCATATCTGGTCCTCTATTCTGTTCCACTGGTCTTCATGTCTGTTTTTGTGCCAGTACCATGCTGTTTTTATTGTTATTGCTTTGTAATATAGTTTGAAGTCAGGTATTGTGATACCTCCTGCATTGTTCTTTTGACTGAGTATTGCCTTGGCTATTCGTGGCCTCTTGTGTTTCCATATAAATTTAACAGTAGATTTTTCAATCTCTTTAATGAATGTCATTGGAATTTTGATGGGAATTGCATTAAACATGTAGATTACTTTTGGGAGTATCGACATTTTTACTATGTTGATTCTACCAATCCATGAGCATGGGAGATCTCTCCACTTTCTATAGTCTTCCTCAATCTCTTTCTTCAGAAGTGTATAGTTTTCCTTGTAGAGGTCTTTCACATCTTTTGTTAGGTTTACACCTAGGTATTTGATTTTTTTTGAGGCTATTGTAAATGGAATTGTTTTCATACATTCTTTTTCAGTTTGCTCATTGTTAGTGTATAGAAATGCTAATGATTTTTCTATGTTGATTTTATATCCTGCTACCTTGCTATAGCTATTGATGATGTCTAGAAGCTTCTGAGTAGAGTTTTTTGGGTCTTTAAGGTATAGGATCATGTCGTCTGCAAATAGGGATATTTTGACAGTTTCTTTACCTATTTGTATTCCTTTTATTCCTTCTTCTTGCCTAATTGCTCTGGCTAGGAATTCCAGTACTATGTTGAATAGGAGTGGAGATAGTGGGCATCCTTGTCTGGTTCCTGATTTTAGAGGGAATGGTTTTAGTTTTTCTCCGTTAAGTATAATGCTGGCTGTAGGTTTGTCATATATAGCTTTTATAATGTTGAGGAACTTTCCTTCTATTCCTAGTTTTCTTAGAGCTTTTATCATGAAATGATGTTGGATCTTATCAAAGGCTTTTTCTGCATCTATTGAGATGATCAAGTGGTTTTTGTCTTTGCTTCTGTTAATGTGGTTTATTACGTTTATTGATTTTCGTATGTTGAACCACCCCTGCATCCCTGGGATGAAGCCTACTTGGTCGTGGTGAATAATCTTTTTGATGTGTTGCTGAATTCGGTTTGCCATTATTTTGTTGAGGATTTTTGCATCAATGTTCATTAAGGAGATTGGCCTATAGTTCTCCTTTTTGGAGGTGTCTTTGCCTGGTTTTGGGATAAGTGTAATACTGGCTTCATAAAATGTGTTTGGCAGTTTTCCTTCCCTTTCTATTTCATGGAACAGTTTAAGGAGGGTTGGTATCAGTTCTTCTTTAAAGGTCTGATAGAATTCAGCAGAGAATCCATCAGGTCCTGGACTTTTCTTTTTGGGGAGACTCTTGATTGCTGCTTCAATTTCATTTTGTGTTATAGGTCTATTCAGGTGATTAATTTCCTCTTGGTTCAGTTTTGGATGATCATATGTATCTAGAAATCTGTCCATTTCTTTAGATTTTCAAATTTATTTGAATATAGGTTCTCAAAGTAGTCTCTGATGATTTCCTGGACTTCCATGGTGTTTGTTGTTATCTCCCCTTTTGCATTCCTGATTCTACTAATTTGGGTTTTTTCTCTCCTCATTTTAGTCAGGTTTGCCAGGGGTCTATCGATCTTGTTTATTTTTTCAAAGAACCAACTTTTTGTTTCATTAATTCTTTGTATGGTTTTTTTGGTTTCTATTTCGTTGATTTCAGCTCTTATTTTTATTATTTCTCTCCTTCTATTTGTTTTGGGATTTGCTTGTTCTTGTTTTTCTAGGAGTTTGAGATGTATCATTAGGTCATTGATTTGGGATCTTTCAATCTTTTTAATATATGCACTCATGGCTATAAACTTTCCTCTCAGACTGCCTTAGCTGTGTCCCATAGGTTCCGGTAGGTTGTGTTTTCATTTTCATTGACTTCCAGGAACTTTTTAATTTCCTCTTTTATTGCATCGATGATCCATTCTTCATTAAGTAATGAGTTATTTAGTTTCCAGCTGTTTGCATGTTTTTTGTCTTTACTTTTGTTGTTGAGTTCTACTTTTACTGCATTGTGGTCAGATAGTATGCATGGTATTATTTCTATTTTCTTATATTTGCTGAGGCTTGCTTTGTGCCCTAGGATATGATCTATTTTGGAGAAGGTTCCATGGGCTGCTGAGAAGAATGTATATTGTGTAGAGGTTGGATGAAATGTTCTGTAGACATCTACTAGGTCCACTTGATCTATTGCATATTTTAGATCTTGGATTTCTTTATTGAGTTTTTGTTTGGATGACCTATCTATTGATGATAATGGAGTGTTAAAGTCTCCCACAACCACTGTGTTGGCGTTTATATATGCTTTTAGGTCTTTCAGGGTATGTTTGATGAAATTGGGTGCGTTGACATTGGGTGCGTACAGATTGATGATTATTATTTCCTTTTGGTCTATTTCCCCTTTTATTAGTATGGAATGTCCTTCTTTATCTCGTTTGATCAATGTAGGTTTGAAGTCTACTTTGTCAGAGATAAGTATTGCTACTCCTGCTGTTTTCGGGGGCCATTGGCTTGGTAAATCTTCTTCCAGCCTTTCATCCTAAGCATATGCTTATTTCTGTCGGTGAGATGAGTCTCCTGTAAGCAACAAATTGTTGGATCTTCTTTTTTAATCCATTTTGTCAAACGGTGTCTTTTGATGGGTGAATTAAGTCCATTAACATTAAGTGTTAGTACTGATAGG